GCAGGTATATTAGATCAAGGCAGGACCGCCAATCAGAAAGTCAGAAAGTCCCGCTGACTTTGTTTTCGACAAACTTTAGCTCACACCAGCAGGATACGCCGACGTTCCGGACGGCCCCCGCCCAAGGCCGCTGAGTCTGCATGTCGGCCGGGCCGGACAGTTCACAGCAGGGACGCCTCGGAGGCTGGGGCCAGAAGTGTTCGGAGGTTCCCCAGCTCGCCCGTCGGCGTGGAATGGGGAGCCGGGGCACAGGTGTGGCCGCCTGGCACCTCCAGCCGTATGGGGCCGCCAACGGGGTTGCGGGGTCTGCATCTCCAACCCCACCTGGCACGCTGCCCAGCAGCGCGGAGGAGCGAGGAGCAGAAAGCTGCGTGAATTAAACTGCTCGGAACAGACCAGAATGTTCCGTCTGGTTTCTTCCAGCAGTTCCACTGCCAGGGATTTGCCCTTCAGATAAGATCCGCGTACCTCTTCCCTCTTTATGGGGATACTGCACTACGCCCGACTCCTCTTGGCTTCCTGCCATCCCTCCTCTGCTCCTAACCACAGGGCCTTTGCACAGACGGTTCCTCTGCCTCCATCCCACCTCCCGGCACTGTGCACCTCTTGCATCTAACAGTTGCCGTTTTGTGCGTGATGAGTCCTTTTCTTCCCCCACCAGGTCATCACGTTTCAGGACAGCAGGGGCTGCATCTACACTGTCCCTGGCGCCCAGACGTGCCCAGCACGTTCACAGACGCTCCAAGCACTGGCTGACATGGCTGCACATTGCACGGGGAGCAGTGAGGTTAGGACACCCTGACGTGGGAAGACCACGAGGAAACACAGGCTCCCTTAGCGCAGTGCGGAGGTACACTCCCCGCGTCCGGCTGAAACCGCGATCCAACCACAAGAGTTGTGTCTCGGCCAGAGAGCACCCAGAGCTGGCAGACGGCCTCCGGGGCTGCACTCAGGGGCTCGGACAGCCCTTGTCGGGACGAGGCCCGGTGGCTGCAGCTCCAGCCCCGTGCACCGGCCCCCCTCACCCCACTCGAGGTGTGGGAGACGCAAGGAAGCCCTCCTCCCAAGGGGGCTCGTGCACACGGACCCTGGGATTAGCTTTGACCGGGCCTGACGACTTTAGGCCGCCAGGGAGGGCAGGTGGAGGCGGGGTGACCGTCCGGCCGCGGCACAGACCTGCGAAGCCAGACGGCGCGCTTCAGCCCAGAGAACCCGAAGACCTGCCCAGTCAGGGGACACGGAGGCTGGAAGGAACACGCCACTACAAGGTGCTGAGCGAACTTCTTTTTTTTTCTTAGAAACGACTTAACAGGAGCTTCCCCTGAGAGGAGGCAGTGGCAGGGGTAGGCACGAACTTGCCACTTTGTACCTTCCTTCAGTCACGTTTGGAACCACGCACATGTGCTATTTTTGATTTGATAAAGTCACAACCGAAGTCTCGTACAAGTAATTTTAGTTCTCACCAACGACACCGGCAGCGAGATCCTGCCGGCCTGACGCAGGAAGCCACACCCGGCAGGAGCGGGTGGCGCGCCCGCAGCACAGGACGCGACAAGTGGAGGCACTTCATCAAAGAACGAGCAGAGGTGAGTGAGGTCGCGGAGCCTCCCGTCCCACCTGCTGACTCCCGCCGCCCACCCTCAGCACCGTCCCGTGACGCGGCACGCGCGAGCCCCACGCAGGACAGGAAACCCAACCCGGACCTGACGGACCGCAGAAACCCACACACGGACCGACAGCCCCCACGGGATTCAAAGTAAAGGACGGCCGCGTGGTGTCCTCCGACCGACGTGGGGGGTCAGACACCCTGCCATCCCGCCGCACACTCAGACCCCCGAGCGCGTGCAGGGCTCCCTCGGAGGGCTTCACGACAATCCCGAAGGCCACGTGTGCAGCCCAAAGAGCCCGGTCCCGCCCAGTCTGCGTCTGTCTGGTCAGCACGCGGCGGCCCCGGTGAACAGAAAGGAAGGAAGCACAGACCCGGCGCGCCCGTGGGCCAGGGCCGGCGTGGTGACGGAAGCGTGGCCGTAGGAGTCAGTGACACCCCCATACCCAAACAGGAAGAGCAAGTCGGGCTCCCACGTACAGTGACTTTAAGTAAATGCGAATGTGTCATTGTCAACGTGAATGACAAGACCCCGTCTTCTTTCTTGAAGCCTTTCAGACAGTTCTTCTCACGTGGACCACAAACTGGTCCTATGGGCACAGCCTTTCCAGAAGAAAGCAGGATGTCCTCGGCGAGGGGTGCCCGTGCCCGCCCCGACCGGGGAGCTGTCTTCCGTCCCAAGGGCTCCTCTGAAGGGGCCGTGGTGGCTGCTCACAGCTCCTCCCTCTTGCTCCCAGCTCGATTGTCTTCCTTTGCAGCCTTGGTGGCCCGAGACTTCGGGGCCCCCTCCTGCTGCTTCCTGCCCTTCTCCTGCTTTGTTTTATTCTTCTCTTTGTTTCCCCCGCCTCTGCCGGGGTACACCTGCCCCTCGAGGGTTACGTCGGCGCACCTGTCCTGGCTGACCAGAAAGTCCTTGATCTCCCAGGCGTAGCTCCCGTCACGAAGCATGAAGATGGCGCGGTCTGATCCCACGATGAACCTTGACAGAGACATGCGATCGTAGGGTGAGAACACACCAGTAAAGCGTTCATGGGCAGAGCCGCTCCGCGGCACGTAACCAGAAAAAATAATCCCCCCAAATCCAACAAAACTACAGAAGAAAAACCTGTAGTTTTCAAGGCCAAGTAGCTATTGACATTAAGGTTCAAAAGCACAAGCCGACTGAAGGGTTTCACGCGTCCGCTCAACCCCAGACACGCGGAACCCGGCCGTGTGTGGAGTGGACGCCCGCGCTGAGACAGCGTCGGCGAGGGGTCTGGGGGAACCCCCGGGGCTGCGGGAGGCGGTTACCCCTTGAATCTGTTTTGCGTCCTGAGGCACCCAGTGAAGGTTTCCTCTGCCCAAAGCCTTCTGCGGACAAAGGGTGAAAACCACGGGCTTAGGCTGGGTCGCGGTAAGGGGCCGTGAAGGCGCAGAGATACACTGGGTCACTGGACAGAGATCCCGAGCCCGGAGGGTCACATGTAGGCCAGCACTCAGCAGGTCCTCAGGGGCGAAGACGAGCAGACAGAGGCCTACACAGCACCACGCCCTCGTGGGCACTAAGTGCTCCTTCTTATTTTCTCACTGCTCTTCTCTCTGAAACCGGGACATGGGAAGACCCTGAATTTCAGGACCGTTACTGGGGAGGAAAAAGGCAAATCCTCAGCACTGGGCCGAGCACCGCACCCTTCACCTTCCTCCGGCCGTAGGCTCCCAGCCTGAGCGTGGATGCGCCCCCCACAGAGGGACCCCAGGGCGCACCGTCAGGCTGTGCCACATCTGTCCCGCAGACGCTAACCTGCTCCACCTCCCTCAGATAAAGTGACCGTTAACGCCACCATCCTGGGGACAAAGGCACAATGCAGGGCCCGTGGCCCCGTCACAGAGCTGGGTGGTGACCGCCGGGAGCAACCCCCGCAGGGGGCAGAGCACGCGGCTGCTGGAGCGCCAGGCCGGGCACCTGACACTCGCGTGACATCGCGTGTCCGCTCCACTCCGACGACAGGAAAGTTAAAGATACAAAGAGAAAGAAAACTTCAGGACCAAATGAGACAGTATAAAAAAGCTTGGGGCTGTGACCAACAATAAACGCTCTTCTAAAAAGAGAGATAGAGAAAGAAAGAGACAGGAGACAGGAGAGGCCAGGGCATGAGGCGAGGACTGTCAGCAAGGACACGCCCCTGCGGCCACGGGAGGCGGCCTGGCACAGCCTGCCGCGACCCCAGCCGGACTGCCGGGGCGTTACCTCTGCACGTCGTAGTTGGCATTGAAGAGACTGCCCTGCCAGAGGCTGGTGATCTCCTCCGTCTCCTTCTCCGTGGGGCTTCCGGACACGGTGACAAACATCATGAGCGTCTTCCCCTTCTTGGTCATCTTCAGGATGCTCTCGGGCTTGCCCGGGTCTATCTGTGAGAAGTCGATGGGCGCCGAGGGTCTCTTGTGCTCTGGGAGATCCCCTTCTTCTATGTCGTCATCCTTCTACAAGAAGAGAGCACAGAGCACGCGCGTGATCAGACGCGCTCGCGGGCCGGCAGGTGCACGCGTACGACTTAAGTTCTCCCAAGAGAAAGGAAACCCAGTTCCCACCCTTATTCAACCTCTAGGTGAAGGCCTAGTCTCCAGCAGGACTTAGCACCCGTCACTCCAGGTCACCAGAGACCCTGCACGATGGCTTATCAGCTCTTTGCCTCTGGAAGAATCTACCCAGCATGGCAGAGTGTAAAAAGGACCACGTTCTGCTTCGGTCCTACAATGAGCTGCAACACAGCAATGAAGATGTGACCCAGACCTTGGAAAGACAGGACTTAGGCACCAACGCCGGGCACAAAAATCAGACGTGCTAACAAGCCTGTTATCTAAAGTTCAAGATCGAACACAATTAACCTAGGATGACAGAAACCAGAAACAGTGGTGATCCCCGAGAGGCAGAATGAGATGGGGCTGACTGAGAAGGGACACAAGGGAACTTTCTGAGGTTACGGGACTGTCCTCTATCTTGATGGTGGCGTGGACGACACAGGTGTAACCTTTTGTCAAAATTCATAGCACCCTACACTTAAAATCTGCATTCCACGTATACCAACGTTAACTAAACAGTAAGAACCGTGAACAAACAGTCAGTTCTAGTTAACAGGCTTGGTTCTTGCAGTGATGTGAACTAGCAAGCCTCAAACTACTGTGCGAGAATTCTAGGCTTCCTCCCACGGATAAGTAAATATATTAAGGATAATGGCAATTCCGTTCTCCACTTTGGGGAAGGGAGTTCTAGGCACGGAAGGGGGACGAGCACTCCCTGTGGCATCAGGCTGGGACTGGGAGGCACCAGAGGGAACACGTGACTTTTCACAGGTAGGCGGGCAGGTAAACAGACTGATAAATAAAAATACGTAAAAGCCAGAGCTCCTCGGAGAAAAGACTAATAATCCCAGCCATAAAAAGAAATGAATGACTGGTGGGTGGTCCCTGAAAACACTATACTAAGTGACAGAAGTCACTCATCAAAGTGCCTGGGGCGGCTGCAGGGCTGGGAGATGTGGGGGAGGGGGAGCGAGAAGAGATTTTGTTTCTGGGGCGATGGCAAGGTTCTAAAATTGAGGCAGGTGACAGCTGCACGACGCTATGAAAACACCACTGAAATGTGCGCTTTAAATGGCTGAATTGTGCGGCAAGTGAATTACCTCTCAATACAGCTGTTACCGAAAAAAATGAAAAACGACCAACCTAAAATGAAACAGAGTCCCTGTAACGCTCTTCCATGGTCCTCTTGACAAATCAACAATAATGGACTTTTAAAATATTTTTAATAAAGGGGGAGCACAAGAGCCTTCTACAGCAGAGCCTGGAGCCGGCCCCCATTCATTCGATCTGGGATCTAGCGTTAACCCACCTCACCACCTGGCTGGCCTCGCATAGGACTCCTTACTCCCCTGGGCCTGCTTCCTCATCTATAAAAAGAAAAGCAGAGCTAGGTGACCCCCAGGGCCCCACCAGTGTGACCGCACACGACATACCAAGCTTTCCTCAACTCTGCGACCCTCCCACCTGACCCGTTTTTCTTTCTCCTTTTGCTTTGTGAGCTGATGGCACTCTGCGGTCAAGGGCTCAGCTGTCCCATGAGGGGATCTGGGGTGGCTTAGAAAATCCCTTTCCTCACCCATAATGGGAAGCGGGGTGGCATCTCCCTCCTAGGGTCTGGGGATTCAATGACATAAAGACAAGCAGTAAACAGCCTGTGCTGGCCCCAGGAATCACACCTCCAACCACCTATGGGAACCCACTAACAAGATCAGGCGGGACGGCCCGGCCGCCTAAATCACCGGCTGTTTCCGTCTTCGTTCTACTCTTACTTCTCTGTAACATCTGTTACGGTCTCCTTAAAACACCTCAAGACTTCTGGCTGGCTCAGGAACCTAGGACATTTGCGTTTTTCACACTGATTCCACTTAAGAGCTCAGGAAATTAACCCAGTAGGTCACAGGAGGCATTTAATGAAAACTAAGTAATCAGAAGTCCAGTGCGTACAGCAAGGGTACGGACCGCTTCAAACAAAATTTCCATCTTATAGCTTTATGTGTGTTTCCATTACAAAATAAGTGGGGGTAGAACGGTGCCCCAGCATGGCCACCTATCCGGCTCTACTAGTCCCGCCGCTTCTTCCCTTCAGAATCTGACCTATTGTCCCTATCTCTCTCTCTGAGGAAGCCATCAAGCCCCTACCCCAGGCATTCCCAGACCCAGGCCAGCCCTGCCTCTAGGCATTTTCCACCGGCTTCCCCACTTCTCCACTGCAAAGCTCAACTCCCCTTCCGGCAGATCCTTTCCCTGCTCCCGTGGTCCATGATGGTACCACGAGCTAGCATGTACAGAGCAGCTGGTGCCCAGGCTTCAGAACGGCCCTACAAGGCTCCCGCGGAACATGGGGTGGGTGAGCCTCAGAGAAGACAAATGTGACTCGAGGCCACATGCCAGCAGGGGTGACACGGCAGAGCAAGCCCACATGGCTGGCGCCGGAACCCTCCCCACAACCTGCCCCTACCGTTAAGTGTCATCAGAGAATGGCCGACCTTTGGTTTTCCTACACCAGCTGGGACTCAGCATTAAGTCTAACACAGCAGAAAGAGTTCCCTTGCCCCATCCCCACCCCCAACATGTGCGGCAGGCCTCTCCATGGCACACCAATTCTCCCACGGGTGGAAAGGAACTGGGGGATGGATTCAGGGTTCGCCACTGGGGGAGGAAAAAATCACAGCTGGGGGCGTGGGGGCAGAGCTCCCGTTTGTGGAGTGTCTGCAAACATTAGCTCACTTGGTCTATCCCGCACCCTGCCAAGGGGGATGTTTCTGGCTTTACAGTTAAGGAAAGGGAGAGTCACAGTTACCAAGCGGTAAAGCTGATTCAACACCAGTGCTTTGAGCAGACATGCTGTCTCCTGCCTGGTCACACAACCCACCAGCCACCAAGCTGAGCGTACGATCTCTCACATGTCTCCCTTCTGCTCGATCCTGCAGCTTCTGGCTCAACCCAGGCCCTCCTCACTACCTGTCATTTGCTCTTCTGTTCACCAGTGTGGATGACACCGCAGTGAGAGCGTTAAAAGGACAGCCTTGCAAGTCAAATGACAAAGTCTGAAATCCAGTTTACTTGCTGTGTGACCTTGGGCAAGTTACTGAGCCTCTCTGAGCTTCCCTGTCACCATCTAGGAAACAGGGCGAGAGCGTGAGATCAGTGAATGTGCTCTGAGCAGTCCGGTTAGCTAATGAAAACTCAGTAAACATTCACCAAGGAGTCGTTTCTGCCCTCAGATTCTCTCCCTGCCCATCCGTCCGAACCTTTGCCAACCAACCCATTTTTCTAACCACGATATCCCCTACTCGAAAACCTAGCACAGCAGAAACACCCGCTCCAGGGTGAAGCCTTTAAAGGGTATGATGAACACTACGCAGTAGCCGTGGGGAAATGCTCAATCTATCCAGTGAAAAAATGAACAGCAGAAAATTACACCGATACTATGCTCTCAGCTAGAAAACTGTCCGCATACAGAGGGAACACGAGAGAGTGAACGCACACTTCCGTCCGAAGGTAGGGATGATCACGTGTGAGCGTCCCTGTATCCCCATATTTGGGTCATGCGGCTTTGCAAACTCATCAGCGACCGCGTACTGCCTTCTAAACAAAGTGCAGACCCCAGAGCATTCGAGGTCCAGGCCGACCTGGTCCCCACCAACCTTCCCACCCTTAACTTCGGACAGAGCTTTTTCCAGCTAAGCTACCAGAAGATTGACATGCCCACGGCTTCCAGTGGGAGTTGCGCTACCCTACCTTCTACCCCGGCTTTCTTAAAGCTAATCCTCCCGCTACTCTGGGGCGGGTATGACTAATGTCTTCATTTTGCAGATAAGGAAACTAAAGCATGGACAGGTTCTTCCGTAGTGAATCTCACAAGTGCTCTGAGACCCTGCAGTCCGATTCCAGAGCCTGGACAATTACCATTGGCACCTTCTGCCCCTTTCCCTCATGCCCCACCCTCAGCTCCTGTGGCTCAGCTCCTGTGGCCCAGCTCCTGTGGCCCAGCTCCCACGCCCTCCTCCAGTACCTAAAATACCATTTCCTCCCTGGGACCTTTTGAAAGGCCAAAGTCCCTTTCTTCCTTTTTACAAACTCAGCAGTTCCAGATTGTATCAGGGTTACTCGTCCTGTCACCTAGTTCCTGACAGTGGGACATCTGGCTCGTCTCCACCGCACCCCCTCTTGCCTAGCTCCCAGTCTTAGTATTTCCGGCATAGGATTTCTTCAAGAGGTAGTGTTCTTACACTGGGGTATCAAAACCTTCATTTGCTCAAGTCCATAAAGAGACAGGACAGAAAGGGAGACAGGAAAGGGGGAAGGAACTGCCGCACGGAGTTCCCTCCTCGTCCGTGGGGTGCACACCCAAATCCACCCCGATCTCACCATCAGGGCTGATAACATACGAAAGTCCAAGTCTGCTCCCTCCCAGCCCAACTCCTCAGACGGTATTTTAAACTGAAAGCCTCTATCAGAAAGGACCACGCGCACAGAGATACCCACAAAATAAAGACACCAGCGTGGGAAGGCTTCATCCGGTGAAACCTCATTCTGCAGATAAGGAACCTGAGGCCTAGAGAGGAAACAGGGCTTGCCCAAGATACACAGTGAGCAGAACCCACGTTTCTGACCACTCCACCAGCCACGCAAATCAGCCGGGACCATCCAACCGCCTTTGCAAGGGAAAAAGGCACATGTTCTCCTTTGCTGAACTTTCTCTAAAAAGATTACACACTCGGGTGCATGCACGTAAGGAACCGAAAACCCACTCTCGCAAACACGCCTCTGCTCCTTTAAAGGAAATGCGAGTTTCTTGAGAGCCACCAGCCCTTGCTTCCACCCCCGCTCCCAAAAGGAAGCCACCGCCCCCCCCCAAACTACAAAACTCTCGGCAGAGAACACAGCAGTGAGAAGCCCGAAGTCCTGCTGACCTGAAGTCGGGCCAACAATTGAAGCTGGGATGACCCTCGCTCTCCCACCCCACCCCCATCCCCGAGCAGAGCGGGAAGGGCCCCCTCCCCACGTGCCGGGCCCACTGACCGCGGGGCCCCCGCACTGAAGGTATCCAAGGGCAGAGGCGTGAGGGCCGGCCCGGGACCGGCGTGGCCCGGGAAGCGGGGCAGGACCGTCCTGGGGGGACCCTGGGGCGGGGGGCGGCGGGGGCGCTGCGGGGCGGCGGCGGCTCGCGCGCGGCAGCCAGCAGGGAGGCCTGGGCAGAGGGGCCGTCAGGGAGCCGGGAGACACCCGGGCGGGGCGGCGGAGGGCGCGGGGGGTCAGCGGGAACGGGGCCCGGGACGCGGCGGGGCCGGCCCAGTGCGCGCGCGCGGACCTCCCACTGCTCCAGGAGACGCGCCATGTCCGCGTCGTTGTAGTCGCGGATGTCCTTCTTCTTCCGCGGAGGCGGGCTGGCCTCGCCGGGCGTCCGGGCCGCGCCCTCGGCAGCGGAGGCCCTGGGCGGCAGCGGCGGCAGCAGCAGGTCGGAGGCGCAGAGGAGGACCAGGGCCGCGCTCGCCCAGCCGGAGGCCGCCATCTTCGCCCGCCGCCGCGGAGACCAGCAGTGCGCGCGCCGCCGGGCCCCGCCCCCAGCCCCGCCGGGCCCCGCCCCCTGGCCCGCCCCCAGCCCCCGCGCCGGCCTACCAGGCCCCGCTTCGTACCCGCCTCCAGGAGCCCCGCCCCCGCGCCATCTTGGCCCCGCCCCGCCCCCCGGGTCCCTCCCGCGGTCCGGATGGGGGTGTCGGCCCGAGCCGGGTCAGCGCGGGTCTTCCGCCCGTCTGCTCGCGGAGGCCTGGCCTCTTCTCCGTGCGGCTCAGGCCACGTCCACCAGCCCCTCCAGGGCCTCCGGGAGCCCCGGACAGCGCCTCGCGGGGCCTCGCCGTGCGGCCTGCGAGAGGACCCAGAGGTGCAGTCCTGGGAGCCGCCTGGGCTCCGGGGAAGCCGGGCCGGTGTGCACGGACGCCGGCTCTCCGTCTCCCGCGGCTGCCCTGCGAGCGAGCGGCAGGTAGCTCGGCTCGTCCCGAGGCCACGCCTGGACGCGGCTTTGCGCTCGGTCCAGCTCGGCTTCGCAGGATCACCGCCCTCTCTGGCACGCGAGGACCCCCCCCCCCCAAAAGATTACCTTTTATTTTTAGGACAGTTTCAGTATTTCGTCTGATTTTAACCCAGTACTGTAGGCTCGGACTAATGCCTTCTGAGGTTGGACCATTTTCGTGTGTTTGCTTCTTATTTTGGAAGAGCCCGGACCAGAGATGCGTTCGCTGGTCTTTCTCGTAAAGTTTTAATCACGCAAGAAAGACACGAAGCACTGATTGCAGTTGTAGGATACTCGACATGCCGCAAAGTTCCAAACGTTCCCCTCCGCCCCACCACTGTACTCCAGTTTCGTTCGTCAGTACCCGTTTGTCTATGCATTCGTAAACATCCGCACGTCACTGGGAACGTGATCCGTTCGAATTCCGTTGCATCCACCCGTATGCCTACAGCAGAGTGGACGTACTGGTAAGCATGTTGGCTCCTTAAGTGTCTTCCACTTCGCAACAGGACAAATGAACTTCCCTTCTTCATTCTTCAGTAGGTATAGCATGCTTCTCTATTAATACACCAGTAGTTTACTCCCCTATTACCCCCACCCCCGTTTATGGACACTTATTACCAATTTTTATGCTATTACCAAAAAAAAAAAAAAGAGCCACAATAAACCTCTTTATTCATGCTTTCTATTATGGGCTGAACTGTATCGTCCCCAGATTTCCTATGTTGAAGTGCTAATCACAGTCCCCTAGAATGTGACTGTGTTTGGACACAGAGTCTTTAAAGAAGTAACTAAGTTAAAATGAGGTTGCGAAGATGGGTCCCAATGCACTATGCTCTTCTACGAGAAGAGATTAGGTCACGGTCCTATAGGGGAGCGACATGGGAAGACACAGGGAGAATGCGGCCATTCACAGTGAAGGAGAAAGGTCTCCAGAGACACCAACCCTGCCAGCCCCTCAGTCAGGGACTTGCAGCCTCCAGAACAGTAAGGAAATGTGTCCTGTCGTTGAAGCCACCTGCTCTGTCACACTCTTACGGCAGCCCTAGCAAATGAGTAGATCCCCACTTCTAGGATTAGACTCCTAAGCTGCATGTAACAGAAAACCGCGCTCCTTTTAAAGTGGCTTCGCCCAGAGAGAGGGCTTTGCTGTCAGTGTTTCATGTCTCTTTCTCAGAAGCGGAAACAGAAGCCTGGAGGGCTGGTCCTGGAGCTCCTCAGTCCCCTGGCACCCAGCCGCCTCCTTACCCTGCTCCATTCCACAGGCCGTGGTTTCTGTCCTCAAGTTCACTGCGGGTTCCGCAATGGTGACTGGAGCCCCTGCGACGAGAAGGTGGAAGGAGGGGAGGTGTCAAGGAGCCCACTTTTCTACCGAGTTTGCTTCCTTTAAGCAGTCTGCTCAGTTCTGCCAGAGCTGAGCCCTGCAGAGAGAGGAGGCTGGGACACGGTCTTCTAGTTGTATACGTCGTCACCCCAGATAAAAGCGGGATTGTGTTATCACGGGAAGAGAGGAGGTGGCCGTGGACATGTCTGTGCCTCCCTTTCACCCTGAGGACAATTGTGTGTGAATTCTGTCCCGCTGCAGAGCTGGGTGACCTTGCCTGTCCCCATGCGTGCATCTCTACGTATACAGATGATGACGTTTTTTACTGACATGGAGCAGAGTCTCTAAGAAAAAGGTTTTTGTTTTTTTTTTTCTCTTTCCTTTTCTTTTCTGAAATCATAGGGGAAATGTCATAAGCTTTCTCCCCAGGGCACACGGCTCCACCCAGTGGCTCGAAGCCCTGTCCGGGTTCAGTCACGCTAAAACACATGAGCAGCTGTGGTCGGTCATGTGCTCTGCTGGGAGGGGTCCTGCCGGTCATTTATTTTGCCAGCGGCCAAGCGAAGGTGCAAAAGTGTGGAGAGTCCTGGGCCACAGAATCTGGTTATACGGGGGGAGGGGGGGGAGAGGGTCATTTAGTGTTTCACAGAAATTCTTGGGATCGTATAAAAAAAATTCCACGGCTACTGACTTTCATCGAAGGAACAAATCAAGTCAGTTTATAATCCACGGATATGAAAACATCTGGATTGATTTTTCACTGTCACCATTTTGGTGTTTGGAAGTTGACTCAGTTCAACTCGGGGAGAATTTATCTATCGGGGGCCTGCGGTCCAGCAGATGAGGCACTGATGGAATGATTGATGTAACAGGGTCCCCGCTTGAAACAGCAGAGGAGATAAAGGATACGAGTCGGTGTCATGCGGGTTCCAGGAGGTCAGGACCTGAAGGGAGGATCTGATGGTAATAATATCCCCATTTTAAATAAGAGGAAATGCTGGTTTGGGAACTATATCATTCATCAGGGGTCCCGGGTGCCTCGGATGATAAGATGTCTCTTTCTCCCATGTAGCACGCACTGGGGTAATTGCCGAGCCAGTCACATCGTGAAACTGGGCAAGAGCCACTGGAAAGGACTCTGGAGGCAGGGGTGCTCAGATGGGATGAGAGAGGATGTGACCAGGCCCGAGGCAGGGCTGTAGGGCAGGAGAGGAGGGGAGCCCAAGTGAGAGGGATGGCATGGTCATGGGCTGAAGGAAGCCACGAACTTCTCACTGCTCGGGGGTTTAATACTAACCCCACCTCTGAGTGGTTCAGTGACTGCAGATGGTAAAATTGAATCTCACATCCAGCCGTCTGGATAATCTGGGTTTATCCTGGCTGGTGGCACTCAGCAACAGAGCAGGGAGGCCTGGCCTGGAGGCTGCGAAAAGACTTGCCTGCGGTGTCGGGAGCCAGGCAGTTGTGATGTTCGGGACACCGAAAAGTGGGACCGGCGTACGTACTCATCCATCAGAACGGGCGCCTGTGACCTAAGGGATACAGCGTGGTTTTGGAGGCTCTGGTGCACCAGACATGAACCATTTAAGTCTGAATCTTGGAGACCAATGGGAGGAGGGTCCAGGGGGTGGAGCTAACGTGGACATGGGGAGACCATGGCTCTTTACCATCTTCACTTGGCTACTTCTGAATCCGGTGCAAGGAGAGGCAAAATAGAGTCTCCCGAGGTTTAGCTGCCCCTCAGTTTACTCACATGCAGCAATTCCAGATTTCCAGAAGAGACGTGACTGCCCCAGGCTACGGTGAGAGTCCATCCCTGATCACCTGATTATTTGTGAGCAGAAGAGTAGGACTCATCTAATGAGACAACAGTTAAAACCCGTGTTTGCCAAACACGGTGACAGTAAGTAGGCAAAAAGTACATTAAAATTCCGACAGGGTAGAATTACAACTAGCTTACAACTCAGCAAGAAAAAGACGAACTCCCCGGCCAAAGAAGGGGAAAGGCCACGCACAGTATCTTTATTTGTGCAACATCAGTTCATGGCCAGCTTATACATGAACAAAAACTGCAGAACCTCACTATGTAGCGAAGAAATGCAAATTCAAACAAGATATATAAGTTTACCCGTCATCTGGGCTAGAATATAAATTCAAGTCCTGTGCACTGTTGACAATGCTCAGGAAATAAGCAGTCCCGTTCGCTTCCAGGGGTACAGTCTTTCTACATGAGAACGAGGTGAAAAGTATCAAAATCCTAAAAAAGAAAAAGAAAGCCCATGATCTGGAGAATCTGAAAGATCGCCCTGGAATTAGCAATTCTGCTTCCAAGAACAGACTCCAAGAAGACAGACGATGAAAACGAGGTACCGCAAATAAAATCGAGTGCTTACCACGTGGCACAAAGTCCCCTGAGTCCTTTAGATGTATGGTTTCATTCGCCCCTTGTCATAATCCTATGCCCCGCTTTCCACAAAGCAGGAGGACCTGACATGCTCAGCGACTTCAGACTGTGAAAAACCTACACGTACAGATGGCAAACTGTAGCCCACGTATGCAATGGAAAACATCACAGTCGTTACCTAGGATTCATAGGTGTTCATCTGTTCATATTAAAAATGTTCGTTTGAATTGTTAAATAAAATGTTATAGAACGGTATTAAAATCATACAGCTATGCATACGTCTGCATAGGAAAATAGCCCAGTTATGTCTCTAATGGCTTTCTCTAAGCAGTGGGATTTCAAATCAGTTGTGTTTTAAAAGGGGTAAGACACATGTAAACACAGGGATGTCCCTAAGCATTGTAGGGGAGAGAAGTCTAATTTCAACTAAGGTACTCAGAACAATACACTTAATTCAAATTATCCCTAATACTGCAGTTGCCTTGAAACCTTCAGGATCAGACCGGAATCTGCTAGAAGAAAATGTAGGACTTTTTTATCTGTGTCGTCTGAGACATTCCCTACACTTTGTTGGCACAGCGATTTGCTATGACAGTCAGTGAACTCACGATCTGTGTTTCCAGAAAATCATCTCCCTGGGCTCTCCACAAGCTAGAAGAGAAATGGGGTGAACACACTTGCTAAGCGAATAGGCCTCAGGCCTACGCTTCAACCCTAGAGCCGTGAGCTGTAAATCCTGACCACACCCATGGGCCGTGTCCCCGCTGTGGGATGGTGAACGTTCGTGACTTCGTGTCCACGGCTGAG